GTGTTGGGGTTTATTTTAATAATTACATTTAGGGGTCTGTTTATAAATGTTTTCACACCAGATTCATACAGCTGTCACTGAAGAGTCATACGCTTTTATAATTAGATATATAATTGGACAAATTAAAATGTGTGAATCCTAGGTGAAAGTTGTGTGACAAGATTTATAAATAGACCCACTAGTTTGGTTTTAAATGGAAACTATATGGCCCATTTACACCTCCATGTGTACTATAACTGTTGGCGCTATATAAATGCTTTTATTATTATTATTATTATTATTATTATTATTATTATCACATGTGCCCATAGCTGTGAGTGTGCCTCTTGCTACTGTTAGCCTCTGTGAAATGCTACTCTTCCATTTTTTCTTAGGTCCCCCATGAGCTTGTGTGTGCATTATTGCCTTTTCCTGCAGTGAAGCAGCACATTCATTTAAATTGGGCAGGCAGGGCACCTTAACGCATGAAAAACTGCAACTCTGCTTACCACAACGCACGGTACACTGTACTGCAGGAGCATTGGCGACTATCGTACGCGTGCATTTCGGTGTCATTCTGGCACTGCACGTGGCATCCTGCATTTTGGTACCGTATGTTGTTGCAGTACATAGGTTGTTAAGCCAGCCTTGGAGATTTCTTTATTAATTAGGGTTTTCTCACACCTCCTGGCACTTTGTTTCCATTCACTCCTATGGAAGGAAGTGAGTTTTGTTGGAAACCGTACCAAATATGTAGCAAGTGTCCAAACACAGGAGGAAAAAATATAGACACACTGTTGAGGGTGGGTTTTTTTTTGTTACTGATGTTTTTTTTAGAATGCATTAATGTTGCTGTTTTATATTATTGGCATTATTGTTACTATTTGTTGATGTTATTTAAAAAAATCTATATTTGCCTGCAATTTTTAAAATATTTTTATTGTGATTGCTACTGTATAGTACCGATTAGTGGCTCAGCTATTTCATTAACTTTTTTTTAAATAATAATTTTGTTAAAGGAGAACCAAGGGGTCAGGGCTTTTCCCCATAGTTCTCCTAAGGGTAACGGGAGGACACAAACTAGCATCCTCCCGTCACCCAAAGCTCAGTATATAGGGGGCTACAGCTCGTGGTATACTGAGACGCCGCAGCCGGGACGGATCCCGACGTTACTGTCTGGATCCACCCAGCTGCGTGAGGCAGGGTCAGCTGTACCCGCCCTTCCCCCGTCCGTTCTGCCAGTCATTGCTGTTAATATAATTTTTTTTTCTCTGACGTCTTGTTGTGACCTCTGTGTTTCTTGGTTAATTATTGGCTCTGTTAATATTTAATAATCCTTTGCTGATCAAAAATTATATGAATTGCATTTAAAGTGTTGCTCCACGCAGAGTAGCATTTAATATTTGGTAGTTGCTAGGAGAGTTAATCCACTTCTTAGTGACTTCTATCCCCCCAGGGAAACTTTAGTGGATCTGTGTTGAGTTTCCAGGTCTGCAGACTTGCTGTGCCCAATATGAGGGACTCTCTCTCTTTCTCTGCTGGGTTTTGCATTTGTTATGAAGGAGGATCTGCAACACCCAAAAGGACAACACATAATCTCAAAGGGAAATGCAAATGATTATAATTATTATCATGCTTTGTGTTGCCTTGAAGATTGTTTGGCAACCTCTCAATACTTTCTAAACCTGAAATGTTTGTGTTACCGTGTAAGCCTTTGCATAACACAATAAAATGTGAGGGTAAACGGGAAGTCACTGTTGCACAATAAAGGTGTAAATATCACTTAGGTTTGTGATAAGCTCTGCAAATCTGGTACAAACACGTGTCTGTGTTGCGTATAGTAACCACACAGGTTCTAGATAATGTTCTTCCTCAGTGGATCCTAAAATTATATGTTTGTATAGAGCGGGGAAGGAATAGAACTCCTAGTAGTTTTTTTTTATTTACTGGTTTCTGGCATTTCCACTTCCTGTCACAATGATAACATTTTCCCCGGACAGGAAGTGAGAAAAAATCTCTGCAAAACATAGAGAAATTAAAGGCGAACTATGGGCTAAGTGTTTTTCCCCATAGTTCTCCTAAGGGTCACGGGAGGACACAAACTAGCGTCCTCCTGTGACCCAAAGCTCATACTGAGACCGCTGCAGCCGGGACGGATCCCGAGATTACTGTCGAGATCCACCCAGCTGCGTGATTGACAGCTGGCTCTGCCTATCTAAAGGCAGAGCCAGCTGTACCCGCCCCCTCCCACGTCCGTTCCGCCAGTCATCGCTGGAGGTTCGGACGGGAGGGGGTAATCCCTGCAGGGAGCCGTAAGTGTCAGTTATTGAATCTCTATCTCTATTAAATCTCTACAGGGACTGTATCTAGAAGTGAGCGAGCGACGCTATGTGTTGGTTCACTTCCCGATCTATTGAGCCGACGTGTGACAGTTTCATTGTCACACGTCGGCTCGAACTATGAGGATGAGTGATTTTTCACTCGCCTCACAGTTCTCCTTTAAGGCTAGGGTCACACCTGTGCGATCCGTGACCGCACGGCAATCGTGCACGAAACCGCATGGATCGCCAGGCGGTCACGGGAGTCGCCCTCGACAGCCGATCACGCTGGCGGTGCCATTATTTTCTAATGGCACCCCAGTCTCGCCCGACGGACTACGCGGTTTCCTGCCGCAATTCCGCCTGTGCAATTGTACACGATTGCGGCTAAAAAAAGAAGTGCGTTGTGTGTCACAAAGAAAGGTACATGTATGTGATTTGCCATGCGGATATAGCCCCACTGAAATCGATGTTGCCGCGCGGAAACCGCTTTGGGTTGATGTGTGTTGGAACCAGCACAGGGCTAAGGATACATGCTGTTCCTTGGGCCTGATAATAGGCAGTTGAGGGGCTGGGCACTGCATCATGAGAGGCGTATGAACATTGAAGGAAATATTCATATCAGAGGGGGGGCACCCTATCCACTGAACCCCTTCTCTAATGCTCCGTGCTTGGATAGCTAAGCAAATATTGGTATCCCAGACAAGTGCAATCATTTTAGTTTTTCAAGGTTTGCCCTTGGTAGGGTTACTGTTTTATAAATAGCGTCCTTCTTATGTACATGCTGTAACATTTTGTACTGTTCTCACACATTTTCCTTTTCTCCAGGTCACAGGCTACCTTGACGATTGCACGTGCGATGTGGAGACTATAGACCATTTCAACAATAACAAGCTGTTCCCAAAATTGCAAAAATTGCTTGAGACGGACTATTTCCGATATTACAAGGTACTTCATATTTTGCGCTTTATAATCTACTGCAGGGGTGGATATATTGCTATGGAATTCAGGAGCCAGTCTGTCCAATCCAGGGGTCAGTAGCATTTATTTTTTTTTTTTTGTTAGGAGCCAGTTCCATTGACAGGAACTAGAGAAAACTTTTAATGGTTAGGCGTCCTTGGCTACCCGGCTGCTGATCTTCTGCAATAAGTGTGTTTAAAGACAGGAGTGGACTGCGCTTATCTGCCCTGAAATGCTCAGTATGCTTGTGGATGCATTCAGTCATTCCTTAAAGGAGAACTATGAGGTGAGTGATTTTTCACTCAAATTCATAGTTCGAGCTGACGTGTGACAATGAAACTGTCACACGTCGGCTCTATAGATCAGGAAGTGAGCAAGCGCATAACGTCGCTCGCTCACTTTCCAATCGTCTCCCTGTAGTGAGCGGTGACTGTCTTCCAGCGCTGAGTGGAGGAACAGACGGGGAGGGGGTGGGCACAGCTGGCTTTGCCTCTAGATAGGCAGAGCCCACTGTCACTCACGCAGCTAGACGGATCCCGACACAATTCTCGGGATCCGCTTCAGCTGCGGCGGCTCAGTATACCGCGAGCAGCAGCTCGCGGTATACTGCGGCGTCTCAGTATACCGCGAGCTACAGCTCGCGGTATACTGAGCCTAGGGTGACGGGAGGACGCTAGTTTGTGTCCTCCCGTTACCCTAAGGAGAACTATGGGGAAAAGCCCTGACCCCATAGTTCTCCTTTTAATCTGGTTTTCTTAATGTCTGTGCAGTTTTGGAAATGGGGAGTAGCCACCAGCAACCACATACTGTCTAGCAACCAGTAGGCATTTTTTGGGTTCTCGGGTATTGAAAGGTGTTTTTAGGCGCATTGGCTCATGGTAGTTAACCAGCCCCAGCAGCTTGTGTTTGGTACTTTACAGCTAAAATGTATATTTTTTTCTTTCTAGGCGAATTTGAAGAAGCCATGTCCCTTCTGGAACGATAGCAGTCATTGTGGGATAAGAGACTGTGCAGTGCAGCCCTGCCCCACTGTAAGTAATGCCATATTGATTGTTTTCCACGGTCTTAATTGATTTTTCTTTAGAATTAATGTCTTTACAGCCCACGACACACTGCACGCAAATAATTATCACTCCGGCACGTCAGCTTGCGAGAGCTCGCATAGCCGAGCGTGCTGAGATTAAAAATTTAATCTTCAGCCAATCGGCTCACGCATATTAAATCACAAGTCAGGATGCCAAGTCCATTGAGCTTTTACGCACACGCCAATTGGCTGAAGATGCAGTCTTTCATCTGGCCGCACACGGCTTCGCATACAGTGTGTCACGGGCTTAAAACGTATCTCTGTGCAGCTGCACAGAACCTCCTATCCTCCTGGCCTCTGGCTTCTTCCTCTGTGTGCAGCTCCCTAGTCATCTGGCACCCTCCTCTACATGCAGATCTCCAAATATCTGCCCTCCTCTGAATGCAACTGTCCAGACCTCTATTTCCCTCTCCTTCTGCGTGCAGCTCTCTGTGCCTCCTGGCTCACACCACCTCTGCATGCAGCTCGCCATGCCTCTGGTCCACGCCTCCTTTGTGTGCAGCTTGCCGGAAATCTGGTGCACACCTTCTTGTGCAGCTCTCCAGGGCTCTGGTCTGCAGCTCTCTGGGCCACACTAGACCTCTGGTTCACGCTGCGTTTGTGTGCAGCCCACCAGTCCTCTGGTCCACATCTCCACAGTGCAGCTCACCTGGTCCTCCCCTCTTGTGTGCAGCTCTCTGGGCCTCTGCGCCACGCTTTTCTGCATGCAGCTCTCTGGACCTCTGGTCCACATCTTCGCTGCAGGCAGCTTATCGGACCTCTGGTCAAGGCCTTCTCTGCATGCAGCTCTCCAGACCTCTGGCCCATGCCTTCTTTTTGTGCAGCCCTCTGGTCCACGACCGCTCTATGTGCAGCTCTCTGGACCTCTGGTCCATTCCTCCTCTGCATACAGCTCACTGGACCACTGGTCCATTCCTCCTCTGCGTACAGCTCACTGGATCTCTGGTCCATTCCTCCTTTGCATGCACCTCTCTGGTCCATGCCTCCTCTGAATGCATCTCTCCAGACCACTAGTCCATGTCTTCTCTGAACCCATCCTCCTCTGTGTGAAAATCTCTGGACCTTAACTGTGATTGAAAGGGGCTGAATGAAACAAAATGGTGTTTTTATGGAGCTCATACATTCAAAGACTGGACCTCTGGTGTGGCTCATTGAGCTCAGAGCTTTCTCTGCATGTAATAATCCTTAATTATAGATGCTTCATATCAGCTTCCAGGGAGTGAGCGAGTGACACGTATTACTGTGTGTTTTCCTCATTAATGCATGGAAGGTGAACTTTCTCCCGCTCCAGATGCTACAGCATGAACGCTCCCCTGAGAATAGATGTAAAGCAACAGCTGGAGTGGGAAGGCAGGAAGGTGACAGAGGCTGAAAGGACCAAGTGATCTAAATTGCAATTCACCTTCATGTAGGAGCTATTTAAAGTAGACCTTTCATAACTTTACAAGTCTGCATGATTCCGTTCATGGCAAGTTACAATATACAGCAACATTGATAATAAAAAAACACTCTTGAGCTACAGACTAGTAACTTTGCCTAGGCTGAGATGATGTCATCAGTCTGCTACTAGCAGGAGGAAGCATTTCCTCAGTCTCCTCTCCCCCAGTGATCAGACTGAACAATGTAACTTTGCAGCAAGTCACAAGTTGAAAGGCTGTAGCAGGGGATTTGTGTTTTAAGGTTCCCACACACCTTGCGATAATCGTACGATAATCGCGGGAAACCCCCCCGATCGTATTGGCATTGTGGTCATCACAAGTACGATCTGCCTGTCCAAGATGGGCAGATCGTACGTTTTTTTGAGTACCTTACAACCATCGCAAGACAAAAGTCTTGCGATGGTTGTAAGGTGTGTGCCCAGCCTTAGACATTTGTGAACACAGCCAAGAACTGCACAGGCATCAGGATTTACATGATTGCATCTCTGCCCCATATTCAAAACATAGGTAGTTTACGAATTCTTTACTGCGCAGGTGTTAAAATTCAACATCTTAGAAACTTATGCACAGCAGTTTCATTCCACCAGGACTATTCCAGCAGCCGCAAGACACATTACCAAGTGACGAGTCACGGAGCTGCAACAAGGGCACTGCCGAGCTATGATTTGAAAGTTGGCTTGGACGAAGAACACTGTATGCAGAGGTTACACTGCATTTGGGAATGAAGCACCATCGTGGGAAGCTATCTACCGATGGTTTAGAGACTTTAGAAGGGGCCGTAGTTTGCCACAGGACGACGAACATACGGGAAGGCCCGCTACAACCGTCACTCCAGAAAACGTGGCCCGTCTCCAGAAAATTTGTAAATGAGGCCAACGCTCTCGTTGCAGCTCCATGACTCGTCACTTTATAATGTGCCTTGCGGCTGCTGGAATAGTTCTGGCGGAATAAAACTGCTATGCATACGTTTTGAAGATTCTGTTCTCACATTTTTGTTTGGTAAGTGAAGAAAGTTTGATGCTGAGGTTGTAGTTTTGGGACTGTGCGCCATAATTGACCTCACAGAGTTTACTCTCACTGTGCTTCATTTTGACCTTTTCCTTTTTTTTTTCCTTTTAGGATTCAGTTCCACTTGGAATAAAGTCGCCCGGTTATAAGGTACGTAGTCATTAATTTTAATTCTGCTGGTCATGGTAACTGCATTCAGTTTAAAGCACTACTCCAGCCCGGAGACTTGAATCTTCAGTCCTAGTGGGGAAGAATGAGAACCTTTTTATATTGCTGTTTCTGTATCCATTGGGGAGCTTTTTTCCCTCACTTGCTGTTTGGTCACTGAGATAGGAAATGAATAAAATCTCCCCAATGGGAGAACACATCAGAATTACCTGACTGATATACAGTGCGGCATGCTGGCTGATCTATATGTGTAGGTAACACATTCCATCCGCATTTTTGCTGAGAAGGATGGACAGGGTAGAAAACCCTCACTATCACTCTTTAGGGTTGCCCTTAGTGACCCTGTCCTCACCCAAATTACCTTGGCAAGAAATGTTGTTGTCAGCGACCTAGTAGCTATTTGTTATTACACTTTGCATTTGGGCTGTGGTTCTTGGCCATGGGTGGGCAACCCTGGCCCTCTAGCTGGAGGGCTGGAGATTGCCTACCATCCTAGACATCCAAAAGCGGTGGGACGGCTGCTGGGCACCACCATCCTGGTTGTGATATTGGCAGATCTAGAGCCGTCACTCAAGTGACACTCCATAGCAGGGGTAGGCAGGCTTGGCACTCCAGCTGTGCTGCAACTACAAATCCCAAACTGCCTCTGGGAGTCATGCCTGTACCTGTCAGTCTTGCAATGTCTCATGGGACTTGTAGTTGGAGGGCTGAATTTGCCAACCCCCAGTCTTGGCAGTTCTTTATTAAAACCTTACTGTGTGAGTGTGTTGGCTTTTGTTGTGTTAATGTCATATACCGTATACCTTCAGCAGTAGGAGAGGAACATTGGTTGCTGTTATACGCTAGCACAGTACTGAGAAATGCATGCACAGGAAGTGTGATAAGTGTGGGCTGATGTAACCCTACTCAGTTTCATCTGTACATGAAGCTTCCTCTCTAGCAGTACAACTATTTCTGGTGCCACTTACTGTAGATTCAAATATTCGGATTTTAACTGAACAATAGGATGTGAAAATGTGAGCCAAACTGCCCAATGTTTGCAACGCAGATTCTCATAATGTGATGGTTAAAATTTGACTGATGTCCTTGGGGAACAGTTAGTTAAAATGTCCTGCCGGCAATTGGGCTAGTGCCAAAATGTGAAGGTTCAGTCTTGAAATATAACTTCCATATGCAAGATTTACATTTGCCTCCCGTATTTAACTTGGCTTTGTCCAAGGCTAACACTTCAGCTTAAAAGGAGAATTATGAGGCGAGTGATTTTCACTCAGCCTCATAATCTGAGCCGACCTGTGACAATGAGACTGTCACAGGTTGGCTCAATAGATCGGGAAGTGAGCGAACACATACCGTCGCTCGCTCACTTCTTGATCTATCCCTGAAGAGAGCCGTGACTCCGTGACTGTCACTCACGGCTCCCTGCAGGGATTCCCCCCCCCCTCCCCTGTCCGATCTTCCAGCGCTGACTGGCGAAACGGACGTGGAAGGGGCGAGCACAGCTGGATAGGCAGAGCCAGCGGTCAATCCCTAAGCTGGGTGGGTGGTTCCAGACAGTATTGTCGAGAACTCGGGATCTGTCCCGGCTGTGGCGTCTCAGTATACCGCGAGCTGTAGCTGAGCTTAGGGTAACGGGAGGATGCTAGTTTGTGTTCTCCCGTGACCCTTAGGAGAACTATGGGGAAAAGCCCTGACCACATAGGTTCTCCTTTTTTAAGGCCTCATCCACACAGCGTTAAGTCAGACTGCACACGTCCGTGCGGCGTGCAGGGCCGTATCAGACCGTTCCCTGTAGCAGCATGATCTTCCCTATCTGTGCGGGTTTGGGTGTCCGCATTCTGCCGCGGACAGAATGGATCTTGTCTGTGTCCGAGTACGGACAACCGGACACCCACGGACGTGTGATTCGGGTGTGTGTGTATGGCCGCGTCCTCCCATAGGGAAGAACAAATCAAAAAGCCTCCAAGCTTTTGCTTGCAGTGCCATTCACACGCAACAAGTGCACTGAATAGGAAAGGTGACAGGGTCTCTTTAGACCTCATTCACACAGCGTTGTAGGACCGTACACATCGGTGCGGCGTGCACGGCCAGGAGGGACAGATTCTGCATGTGATTGCACACAGCAGCCTGTTCTTTCCTATGGGTGGACGCGGCCGTACACTGTCATACGCACAACCGAACTGCACAGCCCGACTTAACGCTGTGTGAAGAAGGCCTAAAGAGACCCTGTCACCTTTCCTATACAGTGCACTTGTTATGTGTAAATGGCACTGCAAGCACACGTACAGTAGGTACCCACTGACCTGCACTATAACGCATGAAAAAGCACTTGCGTGTCGTGGTACACTGCATTAAAAAGAGTGCAGGTCTAGTTTTCCTTTCATTACTCCACTCGCACTCCGGTAGGGGGTGTGTTGGACCTCTGCAGCGGGACCACTGCTTCCACAAAGAGCACAAGGGTCACTCTGCAGCCTACTCAGCTGCAGCTTTAAAGCCTCATAAAACTGATCACTTTTACTGGATAGCCAGCTGCTGGCTGAAGGAAACAGTAAAAAGCTTATGTCTGCTCCTGTAGGCAAATACAATGGTGAGCTTGGAGCCTGAGGATGTTGGACCCCCTGAAAAATATCTAGTACTACTTCAGCATTATTTTATTTTTTTTGGTTAGCCACTCATCAGAGTTCCACTTTAGGTCATGTAGCCTCATAAACCGTGATCAAGGGAATATATGCTCCAAACACTGATCTATTACAGGTATTCATATAGCGCCAACAATGTATGCAGCGCTTTACGTACTGCACATCAGTTCCTACCCTCAAGGAGCTTACAATCTAAGGTCCCTATCTCGCATGCATGCATGCATGCATGCATACATACATACATACATACATACATACATACATACATACATACATACATAGCCAATTTAGACAGGAGCCTATTAAAGGAGACCTATGAGGTGAGCGCTTTTCACTCACCTCATAGTTCTAGCCGACCTGTGACAATGAGACTGTCACAGGTCGGCTCAGTAGATCGGGAGGTGAGCGAACACATACCGGCGTTTGCTCACCTCTCGATCCTGTCACGGCTCTCTGCCGTGACAGGGGAGGGGCTGGATTCCCACCTCCCCGCTCCAATCTGCCAGCGCTGACTGGCGGAACGGACGGGGGAGGGAGCGGGTACAGCTGGCTCTGCCTCTAGATAGGCAGAGCCAGCTGTCACTCACGCAGCTGGGCGGATCTCGACATCGATGTCGGGATCTGCTCCGGCTGCCGCATCTCAGTATACCGCGAGCTGTAGCTCGCGGTATACTGAGCTTAGGGTGACGGGTGGACGCTAGTGTGTGTCCTCCCGTTACCCTAAGGAGAACTATGGGGAAAAGCCCTGACCCTATAGTTCTCCTTTTAATCTTCCCGCATGTCTTTGGCATGTGGGAGAAAACGGGACGCAAGCACAGGGCATATGTGCGGTGACACTTTCACCATAGACAATATAAGCTGTAAAAGGAAACCATAATGAATATAACTTTATTCTAGTTGCACTTTGTAATTCTTAAAGCTATTTAGTATTTTTTTTTTTACTAACGGAGATATAATTTTGAATACATGATAGAGGATTCCCAGAGCACTATGGGTTGGTTGCAGAGAGCAAAGCAGTGGCTGCCTGCTTGGAGGCTGTTTGATTGAAACCTAGGGAATTGGTAACTCCATATGGGAATGCGATGAGTCGTTCGTTCCTGTATGTAAACGTCAGCTTGAGCTATGGAGGTCTGTGAACAGGTTGTAAAGAAATAAATGAAAATGTGAGAAGAATTCTAAAGCTGCTCTTGCTGCTAGAGGAGAAGAAGAAGAAACATTGGTATGCAGTATTTAATATTTTCCATTTTTGTAATTTTAATTTTTATAATTCTTTGACATAAAGACCAAAACCAACCATTATGCATACCCCCCTTAAACTAGATTTAGAGACGGATAAGTAGGTAAACAGAGGCTTGGGGAAAAATACATATTTAGTTTGGCTGGAACATCTTTCAAACGACAGAAGGCGATCTCTGTATATAAACAGGCGCAGAAAATGAACAGAGACTTTGCAGCCAGGAAGAGGCTTATATATAATCCTTTTGTTTTGCATTTTTTTAATAAATGTATTTTTTGGGAGGACAGTAAAAAAAAAAAAAATCAGGAGATCTACATTACGCTTTAACACCAAATGAAGGTCCATGCTGAACAAAACACGGTATAAGTCCCTTCCAGAAGAGACATGTCATTATACTGGATGTTGCCATATTGTACACTCCTGGATATTGGTTTGAGATTGACAGTTGTCATCGGCCTTGTTTGTTTTGTTTCTTTTATTTTGCCTTATTTTTACTCCTATAATTTTATGGTTCTCTACGACTGGCAACTATACAATACTGTTTTACTATGCATTTATTATCACTGATCCTGACGTACAAGCGCACATCTACTACTAGAGGGAATGTAGAAAAAGATTTCAGGCAATATGACTAAAATGATGTCTGATAGATGAGTCACGTGTCAATGTATCTGCTTGTTCATTATGACTGTATAAAACCACGTCATATATGCATATAAACCCCCCCAAAAAATGTTTAATAAAAAATAAAAAAAACACGGTATAAATGACCTGAATATACAAAGTAGGTGAAACGATATCTGCAGTTAGCTGTATCTTATTTGTCAAAGTTGCAAAACTGGCTTCAGGTGGTTTTTGTTTTTACCTTTTAATTAAAGGTGAGTCTCTCTCTCTCTCTCGCGCTCTCTCTCTCTCTCTCGCTCTCTCTCTCTCTCGCGCTCTCTCTCTCTCTCGCGCTCTCTCTCTCTCTCGCGCTCTCTCTCTCTCTCGCGCTCTCTCTCTCTCTCGCGCTCTCTCTCTCTCTCGCGCTCTCTCTCTCTCTCGCGCTCTCTCTCTCTCTCGCGCTCTCTCTCTCTCTCGCGCTCTCTCTCTCTCTCGCGCTCTCTCTC